CGCGGCTTGGCCGCGGGGCCGGAGATGCACTTCGGCTTCCAGACCGTGACGGAGGAGGAGAGGAGGGAGAAAAGTGAGGGCGGCGGCGGCGGGAGAGGGCGCGGAGCCGAGCTGGGCTCCCGGGCAGCCCGTGATCGGTCTCCACCGTGCTGGGAACGTGTTTGGGACCGGGCCCTGGTCTGAGGCGTTAGCGGGAGCCTCGGTGGATAATACCAGTGCTGTTCCCTCAGCTCGGGAAGGCTGTGATTCTGCAGACACCTTTGTCATGGAACAACCTCAGCAGATTCAATCTTCTTCTTCTTTTTTTTTTTTCCTTTTTTTTTTTAGTGAGTTTTCCTGTGGTATTTTTCAGCTCCACATGGTGGACAGACCTCCACAGGGCAACAAAGGACTCGTTTTACTTAGACACAAGCATTTTTAAGTAAATTGAATCTCATTCCCGTGTCCTTTCTTTGCAGTTTATCAGGTCTTTGAAACTGTGGCCAAGAAATACGATGTAATGAATGATTCAATGACTCTAGGAATTCATCGGGTGTGGAAGGATATCCTCATGCATAAAATGAACCCTTGCCCAGGAACACTCCTCCTTGATGTTGCTGGGGGAACAGGTAAATAATTTTGGTGAGTTCCACATCACAATGCCACACTGTTTTTCAGCTGTTTGAGTCTGCCCAGAATTACGTTTCCTGCTGGGGTTTTTTTCTCACCCTTAGCTCCCTGTCTTTAAAACTAGTGAAGCATCTACTTGACTGTCCCAGAAGAGGATTGAGAACTGATGTCTTTGTGTTTTGTAACATCTTGCTTTAAGGGTCTGAAGGTGTTACAGTCCTGTCATGGTATGTTATGGGAAACTGTGTAAATTTGTAGAATGTCATGGACTCTTTGATTTTAATAAGTTCCCATTTTATCTATATACATGTACACACACACACTCTTTCTGTGTCTATTACAGTATGTTTGAGGGGGTGTTTTTATAAATATATATGACTAAAAAGAAAATAGTAAGTCAGTTGGATGTTCAAAGCCTTAAGTTTCAACTTCCTGGAGTCAGAAAATGTTGCAAGATGTGTATCTTTCCTTTGAACACCTGCAGGTGACATCGCCTTTCGGTTCATTAATTACGTGCGCTCTGTGCGACAGCGCCAGCTCCAGAGGAAGCTCAAACACCATCAGAATTTGTCTTGGCAGGAGATTTTTGAGAGCTACCAGAAGGACAAAGTTAACTCACTAGGGGATTCCCAAGTGGTGGTCTGTGACATCAACAGAGAGATGTTAAAAGTTGGGAAGCAGAAAGCACAGCATCTTGGCTACTCTGAAGGTAATAATGCATTGTGCTGTGGCAGTAACATTCCTGACAGCAAGAAGTTGTGAGGGACAGAGGTTTTTTGCTGTTTCCCTGTGTACATTCAGGAGGAGTGGGAGCTGTGCATGGGGAAAAGGAGCATGAGTTGCACAGTCACTGGTTGTGCATTTTGTCTGCTTGCCAATAACCCACAGATAGACATGGTCTTGATGCTTTGGGGACTAGGAAGCAACACAGCTGCAGGTGCATCACATACTGATAGTGCTGATGGAGGGAGTGTGGCTTTTCATGTTCCTCAGCCTGTGGGAGCTTTCTAGCAAAACGTGTTAAGTGTTTTGGCCATTGTTGCATGGCAAGATGTTAGTAATTGTCCATAGCTACACTTTGAGCAGAGATTCTCTTTTTACAACTTTGCCACAAACAAATGGCAGCCAATAGTGCTTTCCACTATGATGCAAGTTTTGGGTAAAATCTTTGTGGCATATGCACACCTTGTGTATGTGCAGAATGGTGTTTTGGCTGATCTGCAAAATGAACTACTCTGTCTTGACAGTTTCATGAGTAGAGGCCAAGGTGTTTTTCCTCTAACAAAACTGCAAAAGGGAAACATTTGTTTTCAATGTCCTTTAAAAATAATCAATTCCTTCTAGAATTGCTGAGTTCTAGTCTTTCTGGAGCAGTCTGAGCTCAGTTCTATGACTTGTCTTTCACTGCAGGCTTGTCCTGGGTACTTGGGAATGCTGAAGAGTTGCCCTTTGATGATGATAAGTTTGATGTTTACACAATTGCCTTTGGAATCCGAAATGTAACTCGTATTGATTTGGTGAGTTACTACAGTGTATCCTGACATGGGGTCCTTATGATTTTTTATTCTACAAAGGAAGCAAAGTAGGAATTCCTTTGGATAAAGGAAGATCCTAGTCTACTCCTGAAGCATTTAAAATAAGTGGCATGTAGTATGCAACTTGTGTGAATAGAAAATGCAATTAAGTGCCCCACCTTTGTCATAAAAAGACAGATTTATACCAGTTGCACCCAATCCTTCCAGCTTGGCAAGCCACACAATCTCAGGTTCCTAAGGCAAAGGCCTGCATGCTGCAGTCATTCCCCACCTTCTCCTGTGGCATGGATGGATCTACACATGCACAGGGCAGTCAGTCTGCATACCTCAAATCTTCCTGCAGCACCTGATCCATATCCCACCAGTGGGTCCAATGCTTCCTGTCCCCTTGTGTTTCCCTGCCCGAGTCAGCAGAGCTGCCAGAGCAGAGTGGGAAGGAGGCTGCTGCCCCCAGTGCTGTTGCACCAGCCTGTTCAGCCCACTTCTCCTGAGTGTCTTTACACTGGCTGGTGGCAGAGCTCCCTATAAAGAGCAAGGATGACTTTAATTAGGGTAAACAGTACTCTTTGTTCTGAACTATCTGTGTCCTTGGAGAAGGACTGGCTGTTGTGGGGGTGACACCTGTCTGGTGGCACTCGTTGTCTGTTTTGGAGGAGTGTGTTACAACCTTGGCAGAGCTCCTGTGGAAGGTGAAGCATTGGGATCCAAACCACCTTTGACCATGTGCCTTTGAACTTAACGTGCATGTGGCTTTTCCTGGTGCTTTGTCTGCACCCTTCCAAAGCACAGGCTCTTTGCCTGCATGCATACAGCAGGCTGGTAGCAGAGCTCCCTGGAGACCTGATACAAAACACACCCAAGCTGCCAACTCCTTTGCAGAGCTCCTGTGTAGTGTTGATATTTTATCCCATAGGAACAGGACAGTTGGAGTCAAGCAGATGTACAGCCTTCAGAAGTTCTGGAATACAACTCTGTTCTTGTATGAAAGAACATACAGTTTTTGTCTTTTGTCTAGACAGGATTTTGTCTAGATTCTTGTTAGGTATTCTATTTTGATGCAGGATGGAATTTTCAAAGTAGCCAAAGATTTTCTTCTTCTTCCTCTTTCCTTCCTGTTCTTACACATTGCTCATCCGAAACCCAGTATCGTTCCTTCTTTGAACCTTTGGGTGTGCCTCACAGTAAAATCTTTTGATTGAAAAAAAATTATCATGCCTGTTTTTGATTTTCAGTTTCTTGTAGCTGAGTCACCTTCTCCCTTTTGTGTTTGGTCTGTAATTATAAGAGCTCTGCCAACAAACTTTCATCAACTGCGAGTAGGAAAGAAAAGAAAATTGCAAACCCGACATCACAGTTTTGACACAAAGCCTTGTAAAAATCTATTTATGAACAGCAAGAGTATTTGTGCTTTGGGTTTGTGGCACATTTGGGGTTTTTTTTATGCTTGTCTTGGGATGCTTATCTACAGTAAATATTGCAGATTGCCAGTCAGTTCCTCTTCATTCCCCTCAGTTCATCACAGTTGCATGATAATATCACATGGCATTATAATAGGCAGGTGCTGTCCTCCAGAAGCAAACATCACATCTGCTTTGTCTCAGGCACTTCAAGAGGCCTATCGTGTGCTGAAACCAGGAGGAAGATTTCTCTGCCTTGAATTTAGTCATGTCAGCAACCCTCTTCTTTCCAGGTAGGAACATGGTGACACTTTATGCCATGTCACAAGGCTCTCTTGTTTGTACTCAGAATAAGAGGTGGAGACACTTTGAGACCACATCTTGGTGCACTTCTAAAGTCAGCTACAGACTGCATAGCCTAGTGGCACAGAGACCAGCTCGTGTTGGAGAGGGTTTAAATTTGTTTCTGTTAATCTGGATTTACCATCTCTCTGTGCAGGCTCTATGATCTCTACAGTTTCCAGGTTATCCCTGTTCTGGGTGAGGTTATTGCTGGTGACTGGAAGTCTTACCAGTATCTTGTGGAGAGCATCCGACAGTTTCCCCCTCAGGTAAGGCAGGATTTCCCCAAATTCACTAACACACAAAGCACAGTTCCAGCATCATCTTGTGGCCAGCTGGCTTACTGGCCTTCAGGCTGTTAATACTTATGGCACTTATTTTTCAGGAGGAGCTGAAGGCAATGATAGAAGATGCAGGCTTTTTCAAAGTGGATTATGAGAATTTGAACTTTGGCATTGTTGCCATTCACTCAGGTTTCAAACTGTGAGTCTGGGTAGCAGAACACCCAAAGTGTAATTTTCATGAGGGATATGAAAGCTGTGGAATTTTAACGGTATCAAAAGGAGTTCTAAGAAGTTGTGCAGCAAATACTTGCTGAGCAGCTGGGCTCAGAAGAACACAAGTTACCTCTCCCCACCAAGAAACCTGTGGAGTGACTCCAGTGGTGTTTCTTACACTTTCATTTCCTCCAAGTGCAGTGTGAAGGATGTGGCCAAAACTGAGCAATGCTGACAAGCAAGGCAAGTTGGCAGTGGGTGTGGATAAAGAAATAGACTGATTAGTCTCCAAATAAGATGCCTTTGTTTTTACTAAGCTTTAAAGGAGGATATTAGACTTGTGAAAGTAACTTGGATTTATGAAGTAACGATGGACTTTTATGAAGCTGTTATTATCTTTGTCATGTGGAGTTTAAGGATTTTTTCCCATGACTCCTTCTTTCAAAGGCAAATGGAAGGCTTATGAAATAAAAGGGCTCTGCATCAACTTTTTTCCACTTAAATCAGTCTTGTAAGAAGGTTTCCTAAGAAAGGATAGATTTGGGTGTGGGAATCGAGGTGGGGATGTTCATCCTGCATTCACTTGGCAATAAAGAGGGTAATTCAAGAGGGCAAAGGGATAAACTTGTTCCAACGGTTTTATTAGCAAAGAAGCCATCTTTTGAAAGAAAATAAATACAAGGAAGACATTTTTGCTTTTCTATATAGCCACAATGGAAATACCAGCCGCTACAGCAAAATCCCTGACCATTAACAACACAATACAAGACCTGAAGATCAAGATGTGTTTCCCCAGGAAGGCTGAAGGTGGGAATCAGTGTGCAGTCCTGTCCCCAGGTGCAAGTTTCAGTAACAGTCCATGGGTCTAGCCAGACTTGAAAAGAAGAATAGCGACTTGGCCGAGGTAGAAGTAGATGAAGTGCTTGGTCTCATGAGTCACATAGCTGCCAAAATTCCTTCCCACGATGCAGTGCCAAGTGGGATTGTATTTCTTGTCAAATTCCTACAGAACAGAGGATTAAAAAGTCAGCATTTTCATGGTAATTATACTGATATTGTCTAACAGTTGGGGAGGTTTTTTTGGCAATGATTTGTCACTTGATAACAAGTATCACTTTTGGAAGAAGGCAATTAAGGAGCAGCATATGCTCTTAAGCACAAGGATCATCTGTCACTTTATAACTCATCTGCTGCTTAGTCATACCAAAAAAGAAAAAAGTGCTTCCAAGCAGAGCAGGAATAAGCTTAAAACATGTTTGGGGAGGTAACTTTTCCCCTACAGTCATGCCATGATCTCAAACCATAACTTCTAAGAATTTGTCTGCTTGTTCTGAATCTCCAATGAAACTGGTATTTTTCTATATTAGCTTCTGTTTCTGAAGCTAATGGACTTCATTAGGTTTTGGTGTGGTTTTTTTTTTTGCAATAAGGATGCTGAAAAGACACTTGATGGAAAATTCTCTGCCATATCTGACACCTGCTCATGAGATGATGATGTGACACGCTGCTGTCAGGAGCCTACTACAAATAAACTCCTGTGCACAGGTCCACAGTGAGCAAAGCCATGCAGTCAGTGGATTTATACTGCAGTACCTAACAGCTGTCAGCTGAAGAGAATTTTGTGAGGACATGGAAGTTTCTGTTCTGCTCAACCAAACCCTGCAGCTCCTTGCAGCTCAGTCAGGCTCCCAGTAGGAGTCAAGAAAGAAAATGTGACAAAATGTAAGCTATGAACCATCTGTTCAGCATTAGCATGAACAGCTTGTCTTACATGTGGTGGGAAAGGCAAAAAACCAAACCCACTTATTACATGGTCGGCAAAGCACCACTCCTTAAATAGGCTGCACAGAGCCCGTGTCTGGTGCCAGCTCATCAGTCACAGGGACAGTCAGCTGCACTCTGCTCAGCTGGACAATGGACAGTGGCAGAAGAGGTGTAAGGCAGTACAAGAGAAAAGGACCTAGAACGGTCCATATAAAAGGACCTTTATGAAGGGTGGAGAACAGAACAGAGAGAAAGTCTAACTTGATCATCTGGTGCCTCTGGAACTCGTTTCTCCAGAGCTACTTGCCTGGCAATGTTCTCCCCAATTGATTTTTCATGAGCACATTACAAGCCAACACTTACCTTCTTTATGTGAGCAGCGATGTCCTTCTCGATGTTGTATTTCTCCAAGGCTTGAGTTGCACATTCCACCGAGTCCTGCTGCATCTCCTCTGACATGTCCGCATTTTTGATCACTGCCTTTCGATCACTCATGATTGCCTGCTTGGAGGAAAAAAGAGAAGGAAATTCAAAGTTGCAGGAGCACCTGCCAGAGCCACCTGCTGCCAAGCAGCGGCACAGGCACGGCCGGGCACGGCCCGAGCGGCGGCGGCTCCGGCGGCGGCTCCCGGCCCTGCCCGGCCCGGCACGCACGGCCCAGGGCTCGGAGCCCCGCAGGGGATGCGGGAAAGCCGGAGCCGGCTGCCGGGAAGAGCCCCGGGACAGGCGGGGTCGCGGTGCCGGGACGCCGAGTGTCCGGAGCCGCCCGCGCCCGCCGCTCACCGTGCACCAGCGCTGCGGGAGCTGCGCTCTGCCCGTGCGCGCCTCACAGCGCTCTGCCCCGCCCCCTGCGCGCCGACCGCCCCCATTGGCCACCGGCACCGCCTCCCGGGCGCCCATTGGCCAGCGCTGCCGGTCCCCGAGCGCCCATTGGCTGCGGCGCGGCGCCCGGCCGGGTTTTCCCGCAGCGTTGTGTTGCGGCCCGGGATGCCCCGCGCAGCGTCCGTTGCCATGGCGACCGGCGGGCGGTAACGGGAGAAGCGGGCGTGTTTGGGATGGTCACGAACAGTTGGGGTCTGCAGGGAAAGCTTCCAGTCCTGACTGCCCTGCTACCGGCCTGCTGCGCCAGAGGAGCTTTAGGGTGGATATTGGGAGGAATTCCTTGGCAGAACTGGTGACTGGACGATGGAAGGGGCTGCCAAGGGAGGTGGCGGTGTCACTGTCCCTGGAGCTGTTTAAGGGAGGCTGGACCTGGCACTGAGTGCCGTGCTCGGGTGGCAGGGTGGTGTTCTGTCACCGATTGGACTCGATGATCCCAGAGGTCTTTTCTAATTAATTCTGTGTGGCATCATCAGGTGATCCTGGATAAAAATCTTGTTCCTTAAAGTGTGCCCCGTCTCCAAGGCATTGCAATGTGTCCACCAGGTTCTGTGAAACACCTTTCCAAGGCTGATATGTGGGCCCCAAAAGCCAATTTATTACTTATCCCAGCCGGGATCACAGAGATGCTGAGTTTAACCAAGAACAGACTTTGTTTCTCTTTGGAACAAGCTCCTGCTGTGAAGATCCCTTTCAATAGTGTGTGATATCACCACAGGAATACTGGGACATTGCCTGGGCAGCTGTTTCAGTAACGTACCCCTCACTGGGAGGGAAGCCCCCCCTGTCAAAGGAAGGAGTTCCACAGCTTGTGAATGGCACCTGACCACCTGTCCTGTTCACTTGTCTGTTTCCAGTTGTGTCTTTTCAAGTCACACTAAGTGGCCTCTGATAGAAATCCCCAACCCGTGTTTACTGGGTATGATCGAATCAGCTGCAAACTTTGTTCCTTCAGTGAACCAAATCTATCAGACTTTCACACCATCTTTTGCAGACCTCACTATTTCTGCAACGCTTGCCTTTTTTTGTTTGTTTCTGTTTGGTTTGGGGGTTATTTTGGTTGGTCGGTCAGGTTGGTTTAGTTTTGGTTGTGGGTTTTGTTTTTTTTTTTTTAATGAAGCAAGATGTTTTGGTAGAACCTCAGTGCTCTGTTTTCTTAGTTTCACTCTCCCTGGGGCACTCTCTGCTTACACTCTTGTCAGCAGATAGAACATTGCTGTTGAGTCCTCCACAGCTGGTGATCTGTTAATTACAGGACTCTGAACCATGGCTACAGCAAACAGCACAGGATGATTTAAGAGAGGTTTTTAAATACTGGTTGGTAGGACTCCCATTTCCTTGTAGAAATTTTTAAAAAACCCACCTGAAGAGCAGTCACTCACCTCACTTGCAATGTAAATATTTTGCATGTTCATCAGTGTAGTTACCTGCTCAGTGTCATTCAGAGCAAAAGCAGCATAACTGCAAGCACCTCTTTGCTTTTGCAAACTCTAAGGCAACCTCAGAAGAATACACTGCCCCCAAAAACACTGAAACTGCATAACGTGATGCTTTTGTCACTCTAGAATATTCAGGAATAACTCCTGACTCACAGGTTTTAGCATTCCCAATTAGAGATACAGTTCACAACTTTGCTTGTGTGCTGGAAACATGAAGAAGTTCTGAGTGCTCTTGGGGCCACAGTAAGTAATTCATTTCCAGAGCTGTGTTCAGTATCTGCAGCAGCTGCAGTAGTTCTTTGAGGACTGGACAGTTTTGTGCTGACAGAATGGAACCATTTAACAATCCTCCAAGTGCTTCCACTGAGCTTCAGAAACACCCATGAATCTCTGAGGAGGTGGTTGTGTTTGGTAGCTGCAGGCAAATTTCTCTGCATTTGTTAAATGGTTTGCTGAGGGAACAACTGTGATGACGACTGCAGGAAATGTCAGTGTGGGTGAGATACACGTTGTTAATGAGAAACATTAAAGCCTGGGATGCATCAGAGTCCTACTTGTTAATCAAGAGTATAAAAGTACAGCTTCCCTCAGGACAGAGCTGCAGGGAAAGGCAGAACAAATAAACACAGGAGATGATAGCTGGGGTAGAGGAGGTGCTGAAGAAAACTGGGTAATGGATAAGGTATCTCAGGAGATTGCTCTCCCATTTAGGCTGTAAGCACTTTTCATGAGGTGGTTTTTCACTCTGTGTTGCACAACCTATCAGTGTATTAACAGAGCTTTTTCCTGGGGCTTCTAGTTAACACCACAATGTAAAATAATCATTATTACCAATAAAACAACTTCCATCTTCTTTTTCTTTCCACAAAGGTGAAGAAATCTCCACATTGACATTTTCTTTGTAAACCTGGGATTCATATGCGAGGACTTCCAATCCAATTTTATATTTACAGTATTGTGGTGGTGGAAAAATGTCAGCAGCTCTAAGTGAGGTTATCCCCATGGTCTCAGAGAAACTGGATCCGTTTACTGAGTGCTGCAGTGAATGCAGGGAAGCAGCACAAGGAGTGTCCCTCCCTCTGTGCAAGTGAGGCAGGGCCCAGGGGGGCTCAGCCCCATCCCTGGGGCTCAGCCCCACCACTGTTAGACCCCCTGAGGCACTGACATGCCCTGCCCCACAGGCAGCTCATCTCCCCCCTGTGAGCTTTTCTTTTTGCTGCTTGCAGGTGTCTGAGTCAAGGCTGCAATTCCCTTATTTGTGGTGAAGTTGCACCAAACCCCTTCATTAAGGAGATGTGTTTTCCACTTTAAATGCAGTCTGGGCTGCAGGGAACAAGCATCAGGCAGTCTGTTCTCTCCCTGGAGTGTGTGGGAGCAGCACTGAACTGGCAGTTTTAAGTTTAGCCTGTGCTGCATTGGGAATGTGGGATCATCTTGTCCAAATTGTTGGTTTAGTTGTTGCCTTTAAATAGTTACTTGATGCTATTTTGGGTTAAAAGCTCCTGCAGCCATGCAGTTCCCTCTCAAATTCCTCCTCCTTTTTCTGTGTAAATAATATTGTCCCCATTCTGTCTGATGGCCAAAGCAAGAGGCCAAAATGGATTGATCAAAGGGGGACTTCTCAAAGTGGCAATTCCCTGATATTATGATTATGATTGTGGTATTAAACATATTGATTGATAGACATTTGAAGTCTTTCCTTGTTATGATTTCTATACACAAATTACTTACAGGTTGAGCTTGTATATTTGTAAAACTTCAGCATTTGCAGGGTCTGGATCCTGACAAGTCTGAGACTAAAGCAATAATACAGAGTTACAGCTTTGCAGAAGACTGGATTAGTGGTGTTAAATACAGGCTTTATTTCAATACCCTTGAAAAAATTCAAGTGTCATAGTAATTACCTGTTTTATGCATCTAGGTGAGCATATTATGGATGCTTAAATAAATAATGATGTAATTGCACAATTAAGAGTGGGAAGAGGGTTTGCTCTCACCTCCAGACAGCAAATTCACTTTGCCAAATAAAAGCACCAAGGTCATCTGCCATGCTGCTGCCCAGCTTCAGAGACATTGAATATTTCAGCAGCACTACTAAACTTTTACACTTTCTTTCTTCTGTCTTGCAAGTGCTCTTCTTCTGACCAAAATACATGCCAGGGTGTGACTGCACACAACTTCATTTTCCCCACATAAAATACTGAAAGGGCATTTGGGCTCTGGGCTGTCACTGAGAGCCCTGCAGGAAAGTCTCTCGTTCTTCCAGCTTTGGTAAAGGGATGTTACCTGAGAGAAAACACAAAACAAGTTGTGTGAGACCAGCTGTAAGTCACCCGGTGGGCAGAACACTTTGGCAAGGAAGTGTTTCTGCAGTTTACTCCATGTGCAGGCTGCCTAAATATCCTGAGAAAGTCAGGAAGGAAGTCCTGCCTGACCTCCTGTAAGGAATTTCTCAACGTGGGCAGTAACTCCAGAGTCAGGTCAGCCTCTCTGCTGCTTCTGGACCAATAAACTGCACATTATTTTAGACAGATGGCTACAGTAATTTCTTTTAGAACTCCCTATTATTGGCTAGTATTTCTGAAAGTGAATGCAGCTATGGCAGGTTATTTTCTTCAGGTGAATTCAGGCGAGATTAAGCGATTTTTGTAAGCAAGTCAATACCTGGTGGAGCCACAAAATACTCCTCTACTTTCTCTCTGGCATTTTCCAGCAGTTCTTTGGTGCAGTTGCCTTCTGTCACATCATCTTCTCTGAGATAGAGACACCTGAAGGACAAAGATTACTGGTTATCTTCAAGCTGTTCTGTGAATATGAGGTAGGAAGGGTGGCTGATCTCTAAATCTGGTGGTCTGTTAAATAAACACAGAGACAAGTACTGGAACATTTTGAAGCACCCAAGAATGGCACTGGCAGGCATTTGGGGAGCAGTATGACAATTAAGACACATTAAAGAACTGAAGTTCACACATCAAAATTACACGTGGCAATGACACCTTTCTCCCACACAGAGCCACAGGAGGACGTTTTGAGCAAAGGGGCCGCATGCACGGTGATTCCCAGGGAGAAAAGGTCACAGAAATAAACAGTTTGAGGCATGAACAGATAAAGGAGGCTGCTGTGGTTCTCCACCTGTCCTCCAGCACTGAATCCATGGGTTCCACGCCCTCGGTGTTCACTTCGTGAAGCTGATCAGCAAACTCGATCGCCTTCCGCAGCCGCTGCACGCCCTCCGCGTCCCGGAAATCCACCAGCGCCAGCTGCTCCAGGCGGCCCAGCACCTCCACCGACACCTTCTGCCGCACAGAAGCAACAAAGTCAAAACCTAACGAGTTCAGTACTGCTACTTCCTGTTAATTACAAACTCGTTACGCGTCAAAACCGGACTTTACAAAGAATCCTAAAATCGCTACGGCTGGAAAAGACCTCTAAGGTCACCAAACCCAGGCCAGCGGTAGGACTGCTGTCCTTTCTTGGGAAATCAGCCGGTGTTTGGTGCCGTGCCCGCGGGCCGCCTGGCGAGGGGTGGTGCGGGCGGTGTTACCGGGGGCGGTGCGGGCGGTGTTACCGGGGGCGGTGCCTGCCCGCTGTGCTCGCTGTGCTCGCCGTGCCCGTTGTGCGGGTGCCCGTGCTGTCGGTGCCCGTTGTGCCGGTGCCCGCCGTGCCGTGAGGGGCCGCGCGCGGCGCGCAGCCCCCGCGCGAGCAGCAGCGCGCGCATCGCTCCCCCGGCGCCGCGCCGGAAGTGCGTCACCGGGCGGCGCGCCCCGCCCGGCCCGTCCGTGCCGGCGCGGCCGCCGCGATGAACAGCGTGGGCGAGGCGTGCACCGAGCTGAAGCGCGAGTACGACCAGTGCTTCAACCGCTGGTTCGCCGAGAAGTTCCTCAAGGGCGACAGCGCCGGCGACCCCTGCGGGCAGCTCTTCAAGCGCTACCAGCTCTGCGTGCAGGTGCGTCCGCTCCCGGCCCGCAGCCGCCGGCCCCGCCGGACCCCACACGCGGCCCTGGGTTTACCTCGCCCTGTGTCTGTCCGTCACGACGTGAATATTTTATAGGCGTTTCCTGTTTTTATTGCATAGCATAATATAATATTTATTTTAATACTTGCGAAAAGCCAATCGTAAAATACACATTTTTCACAATGGCACACGGCTTCTTCAGGCCGATGTGCTGAGGCCGCAGCACGTCTGTTAGACCGACTGCAGCTCAGTGAGTCCTCAGTACAGGCTAACATTGAAGCTTTATTCAAAGCAGCCTTTAGGACTACTTTTTGTAAGTCAGTTGTGTTTTTAGATGATTTCTATTCAGGCCACAAGTGAATTGGACAAGAAGTTACAGATTTAAGCTGCCGCAGGGAGGTTTAGGTTGGACATTGGAGGAGTTTTTTCACAGAAGGGTGATCAGACCTTGGAATGGCTGCCCAGGCAGGTGTGCTCAGTGTTTATGGGGAGCCTGGGCATGGCCATGGCCTGGCTGGCACCCTGCTATTACTCATGGATGATCTCAGAGGTGTTTTACAGCCTGACTGATTCTGTGCTTCTGTGTTTTGTACCTAAAATACCCTTGTTTAGCCCTATAAAGAAGTGCTGAATTTAATGATTTGGTTTTTCTTCTTTTCAGAAAGCAATCAAGGAGAAGGACATACCCATTGAGGGCCTGGAGTTCATGGGCCCGAGTAAAAGGTAACCTCGTGTAGCCCTATAAAGAAGTGCTGAATTTAATTATTTGGTTTTCTTCTTTTCAGAAAGCAATCAAGGAGAAGGACATACCCATTGAGGGCCTGGAGTTCATGGGCCCGAGTAAAGGAAAAGCTGAGAACTCCTCCTGATGCTGGCTGTGTGGGTGGAGTCACTGACAGGAGCCTTTGGAGCCTCCTGGAGATGACCTTTGCTAGCTGCTTGCTAGGAAGTGACAATGTTCTCTGCTTGTGACAACAAACAGCAAAAGAAAAAAAAGAGACTGGATCATGTGGTAGCTCTGCCTCCTTGCCAGTGAAACGTGGTGGTGGTTCAGCATCTGAGAGCTCACACATCCATGTGGAGTAACTTCTGCTGGGTGTGCTCTGCAGTGGGGAGTGCTGGCTGGAGTGGGCTGGGCTCGTGGTGACTCATTTCTCTTGCTTATTTATAGAACACTTGCAAGTGTTTAAAAAGAATGTGAAGGGGGTTGATGTACTTTGTCATCTCTATGCTGCTGGTGAAGAAATGGGTTTCATGTAATGCTGAAGGGCTTAAGCACTGTTTTGTGTCAGCTGCAGAGATGGTTTAAGAGCACTAATGGACCTGCAGCAGCTTGGCTGAAATAAATGTAACCAGGTTATATTTTGTTCAAGTAGGTAACTGTGCAGTAGAGTCTGATTGTGCCCCAGGAGGGGTGAAGTGGCCTGCTCAGAGCTGAAGAGAAGACTTTTAATGCAGAGGCTGCTTCAGCCTTTTCTGAGGTACTGACACATCCATGAGCTTTAATTCTCTCTCCTTTAGCATTACACATTTCTGTGGTTTGATCCTCACACAGGCAGGGGACAAAGCTTGTCCCTCTCCTTACACCAACAAAGGTAAAAAAGATATTATGGCCTGGGGACAAAAGATAACTTCATAATTCCAGAGTTACAGTGAGGAAAAAAGAAAGCTTTGCTCTCTGCTTTTAACTACTGCTAATTATTTAAAGGTTCTATTAAAAAAAACTAAAAAAGTGCAGTTCTCCAACATTTTAGCTGGCCTGTCTGCACCAGAGCCCCTCACAGACCCCAGACCCTGCGTCCTGTGCAGAGGATCAGGAGCTGCTGCAGCCTGAGCCTCTTGTTCCTGTGCCAGCTGAGCCACACTCCTGTTCTCAGGTGCAGAGAGCTCCCACAGTGCCAGCACAGGGCTTAAATATAGCACTGAAAAAGCAGGCTGCTGGCCAAGTGCAGCAGACTAAGGGAAGGATCCATAAATAGCATTTTGGAGACAGTTCACTCTGTAGCTTTTCTTTTTTAAGGAGTAACACACAAAACCAGTTTGCTTTTCTGTGATCTTCATGTAGGGCTAAATGCAATGTGACTTTGTCAGCTTTAAAATAACTGTGCCCATCAGTGCCTTGTACTTTCAACACAGGAAAACCTGTCTTAATCTTTTACTGGTAAGCAGACCAAAAAAAAAATCACATGGAAACATGGGGAAGGGCATCCTGCAGAGCCACTTGGAGATTCCCTCTTGCCATCCACCACTCCCTTCAACAGCAAGGTGCCAAAGCAGCTGCTGTGTTCTGCCTTCTGGGAAGAACCTCACTAATGACAGCTGAGATAGAGCTCACATTGTGCAAAAAATATAGAAGTTATAGTAAGAACTGGAAAATGGTTAACTTGTAATGAGTGAAAACTTGAAAATTAAAGTTGTACAGGCTCAGGCTGGTGGCTCAGTAATCCCTTCTGCTTCAGGAGCTTCTGCATGACACAGCACACACTACACAGACATAAGCAGCAGAACAAAATTGTGTTTTCTTCTGCAAAACCTGTGTGTGAGACTTTGTGCAGAAATGCAGCTTTTTGGAAAGCAGAGTGGTGAGCAAGATCTGTGCTGCTGTACCTGAAAACCTGAGAGCTGAAGGTGAGCAGTGTGAAGGCAGTTTGGCAGCCACTCCCTGTGCCAGAAGGGACCAAGGGAAAATCTCCTTCATGACTGTTAATAAATGTTGCAAAAGCTGATAATGGAGAATGTGCTTCAGTATATACTGAGTTTTAATCTGTATCTTTTGTTCTGGCTGTGAGTTTAGAGTCATCAGTTAAAGCAGGCATGAAGAACATGAAGTTGATTTGTGTCCTGTGCCCAATGCACTCCTGTTGTTTGTGTTACCCGACACAGGAATGTGTTACCATCCAGGCAGTCAAACCCCTTTGCTCCTGCCCTCTGTCCTGGGGGAAACATTAATGATTTGTGCCAGCAGTGAACTAAAAAGCTCCTAAGGATTCAGGAAAACAAGTCAAATCCCAAATTCACGTTCAGAGTTGTTTATTTAAAGGAGCCCATCACAGGCACACACGGGGGCCACAACAGCACGCAGCTCCATCGCAGAAGAAACACAGAGTTTCTGAAACTGTGACCCAGAAATGGCTCCCACTCAACATTCAAGGTGGGGAGCCAAAGTTCTGGCTGTTGTCAGGATCTTGGTTTTAATCTTCATAACCAGTTGGGAGAGCGTTAACGTGGGGGTTGTGAAACAGAGTTTTATTCCCATCACCCCAGGGGAAACGCTGTTGAAAGAAGAAAGAAAATAAACCTGAACAATCCCCACCAGCACCTGAAACCAAGAACAGCACAGACTCAAACATCAATTCTCCCAGGCAGTTAGTGACAGGACAAGGGGATATAGCCTCAAGCTGTGCCTTGGACAGTTCAGGCCGGACATCGGGAGGAATTTCTTGACAAAAAGGGTCACTAAACATTGGGATAAATTGCCCAAGCTGCTGGGGTCTCCATCCCTGGAGGTGTTTAGGTACAGACTGGATGTAGCACTTAGTGCCACGATCTGTTTGACAGAGATGAGTCAAAGGTTGGGCTCCATCTCAGAAGACTTTTCTGACCTAAATGATTCTATGACCACCCAGCTTGACAGGCTGGTGAAGTGGGCAAGCTGGCTGCCAGGATGCAGGAAGCAAGGGCTGGAAAACTCTCTCCCTTAGCTGGGAGCCAGAGTCTCTACACAGCACCATCTTTGCTCTTATTTAAACACTGTGCTGAGTTATGAGGGCTGCAATTTTGAGTAGTTGGGAACTCCACTGCTTAGTTTAAGTACAGCAGTGTATTTATATATATATATAGAGAGGGGGGGGGTGTTTGTTGTTGTTGTTTTTGGGGTTTTTTTGTATTTTTTGTTTCAGCCAGCCATCAGGAGGATCACTCTGGGGTGGGAGGGCCCGTGAATGTCACGGGTACTTCAGAGCTGTGACAAAGGGCCAGAGAACCAGCCAGGCGCCGGTGTCACAGCGGCCGGGAGGAGGCGGGGAGGGCCGTACCTTGGTCCTGATGCGGAGGTGGGCGTAGGGCACGAACTCGGGCCGCTGGTGCTCGTGCTGGGCCTTCAGGTAGCAGTTGAGCATGCACACGGCCACGCCGGGCAGCGCCACCACGAACGTCAGCGTCTTCCACATGCGGGCTGCGGCACAGCGGGACAGCGCTCAGCGGGACCGCGGCCAAGGGCACCGCCGCCCAAGGGCAGCGCCGCCCGCGCGCCGCGCCCGCGCCCCGCAGAGCCCCGTTACCTCCGCCCTCCTCGTGCGCCGCGGCCGCC